CTCGCAGTAAACACAGCATCGAGAAAGACTTTCGCCGTCTGGGGCATGCAAAAAAGGGCCCTCGACAATTTCATAGTCTAAAGCTCCCTCGCTCCCGAGAGTCAACCCTTCCGATAGATGACACATTTTTTTTCTTCTTTTTTCTAGGCCCCGAAGGCAAAGCCGCCATTTTTTCGGCACCGTTTTTTCCTAACGTTCCGACTCCTCCCAGTTTTCCCGTAGGTAGGATTTTGACCCAGAAAAAAAAATCGAATACCGTTTCGGGACGCGGAATCTTTACGACACCTCCGAAACTCGGCGACTTTTTTCTCCCGTTTTACTACCCAAACATCCCTTCACGCTTCCTTCCTCTTTTACGTCGCGGAACGAACTGCCCTACCGGCGACCACATTTCTGGAAAACAAGCGGAGACTTTTTCGGACTGGGTCGTCCTTGAAAAAATTTCTAAAGAAAGAGATCTCCGTCGCGCGACGAAGACCCTTGGCCCGGGCAATTTTTCGGGAAAAAATCTTTGCGGGTGACACTTTCTTTTTTTTTTCTCTCTCCACGGAGTAGAATCAATTGGAATATTTCGCATGTCTGAAAAATGTATGGAGTAGCCACGTGCTCGGTCGCCGATACCGCAAAAAAAAAAAGTGGGTTGAGCACTATCCAAATCGACATTTTGGTCTCACTTAACCTCTAAACCTCAAAGAAAAAAAAAAAAAAGGATTTCGCATGCACACCCCACGCATCTACCGTACAATTAACATAGGCTTCTAATAGAATCAGTTAAACACAGAGCCGGAATAAATCGGGGCATAATTATTCTCAACGTCTGTGGGAAAACTGTCCCCTCTTCCACGGTTGTTAATACGTATATGCGCGGCTCGTCCAAGATACGGTCTCTCGATAACGCGAAAAGGTAACAGGGACCTGCGGCCATTCCGCGGCGGAATACGCGTAGCAGGGCCAATCGGTCCTGCGATCTCCTCGTGGAACAACGTTTCCCCGCAAGACCGTCGCGAATCACCCTAGGCGACCGGGGGCAATAAATAACTAGATATCCCCGCGCGCACCTCACGAGTGCGCAAGCGCGGGCATTGGGCCCCCAGCTGATCCGTCACGGATCGAGATATCTCTCGATCCTCTCGACCTGTCGATACCCGGCAATAGTCCCGGGCCATTGTCGTCGGCCCCGTCCCCGATTATCGATGGGAAAACGATCGGTCATGGGAATCTATTTCCTAGTTACTAGATGTTTACGTCGGTGGGAATTGTCCGGGCGACAGAATCGAATGGAGGCTATCAGGGGGTGGAGGATCTCCGAAGAAGAGGAGACGAGGACGGTCGGGGCTCGAGCATAGTCGTAATATTTTGGAAAAGGGCCGTTTCGGTATACCGCATTCTGGCCAGGCTGGTAGACCTCGGTTCGTCCTTGCATCCGCTGCTCCTAAAGGCCCCCCGGAAATTAAGAGGGAACCGGGCGAAATTGGCCGCGACATAACCTCCCTCCATTGTGGGGCTCGTAAATTTTTGAAAATCCCGACGGAAGAAGCTCCGGCTCTCTGCGTCCCTCCATTTACGCGTCCGCGTTTATGGTCGCTCGACCTTGAGTGCCCACCTTAACAATTTCCCCGTTAACTCGGCCCTTTGACCCCCGCGACAATTGCTACTTGATAAGGATCATTCTAATCGATATGACTTCGATATTCGACCTCTTCCGAACTCCTCGAATTCGATTCCGGGGCTAATGGCCGTCAAAACGTGGACTCAACCCTGATGGCGCAAAATATTTCTCTTATATTTTCTATATGTATATTTATATTTAACGAATATCCTACATTTTATAAATATATTTATAATCAAAATCACATGTTTCCCTCCCACAAAGAGATAGCGGAAGGAAGATGTTGCAACGATTTCTTGACATCAAAAGAAGTGTCCGATAATAATCGTAAAATAAAAAATGTACATTTATTATGTCCGTGAATGAAAGGAAATAAATAATTTTGAGACACGTTCATAAATTATCACAGCTAAATATGTCATTGAGATTTTCAACGAATATTCCAGATATCCTCGACTGAAATCTATGCGACGTCTTGAAAAATCTGTCACGAGATATTTAACAAGGATTACAAAAAAGAATTGTTAAAAATTATTCTGCGTTACTAGGAAAGGTACCTCGTCCATATTAACGAGTAGCAATATTTTAACGTCAACTTTCTCAGACGACGAATTGAAATTAAATAGCACTAACGTTCGCGCAAACAGTGTCAAGACTAAAACCAAGTGTAATGTAAATGATGATTAATTCTGAAAATCGAAAAAAAAAAAGCGTTTCACGTTATGGGGCCCCTTTCATAAAATTGGATTCTACCCGCTACGCGGGTTAAAAAAAAAATATCCGGTTGAATTAAGGGGGTTGAAATTCTGCGAGGAAATTTCCCGCAAATGGAGGTCTCCCTAATGCACGGGGTTTCCTCGGGTGGAGGTGTTCCTCAAGGATTGACGCCAGACCGACAGGCCGACGCGTCTTCCGGGTCCTTAGGGACAAGAATGGCGGCAAAAGGGACGAAGGGCGGCGCTGTAAATCTCCAGATGGTTTTATTTTGGTTTATTATCCACCGTTCTCTCGACCTGCGGACCGTTCCTTGCCGCCTCCTCTCGGCGTAATATTGGCCGCCATTTTCTCGTAAGACACCGCCGGACGAGGAGGGCCGACCTGCCCGAAATAACCCCAAAGTCGCCACCGCTTCATTGATTTACGATCGAGGGCCTCTTCGCGCTCCTTTCCGCACTTCCCGTTTTACCGATCATTTCGACCGTATCGTCGGAAACGGTCGTTAAAGGTTTCCACTCTCAAACAGATTAGGAAGATCTCAGGGCTCGCTGGTTCCCAAGATGTCCGGCGCGGGCGGAGGGCGCTACCGGCGTACTTTTGAATAAATTCCTCGCGCCGCATAATTAGACAGACGACCCTAGGTAGCATAGTATAATATCTAAATATATCTTTGTAATCCTTGTCATATATCTCAAGCGACAGATTTTTTAAGATGTCTCGTAGATTTCATTGGAAGCTATCCGGAATATTTCTTGAAAATCTCAATGATATATATTTATGAGCATATAATAAAAATACATCTTTTACTTTGGGATTATTATCGGACACTTCATTTGATATTCAAAAACACCATCAATTTTTGTAATACTTTCGTTTCGGTATTTCATTATGGGAGCCAAACGTGTGATTTTGATTTTAAATATTTTTAAAACGTTTATAATGTATTCGGCAGATATTTAAAAATACTTATATTAAAATGAAACGAAATGTTTTGTATATCTGTTAGAAAAATATTATGAAATCACAAGCTGAGGGTTTTAAATGAACCAGTGCCCCCAGCTTGGAGAAATGTTTTATAAATATTTTTCACGCTCCATAATACATGTCACCGTAAATGTAACCCATTTTATTTAATGTGGCAGATTTCTCGTATGGAGGCCTAACGGCCCGAGTGTTCAATGATTAAAATAAACGACGAGGATGCCACTTGCAAAGTGGTCACCGTTGACCGATGACCACCGCGTGGTAAAGTGAATATGCGTTAATGAAGAAATCCGCGGAAACGGAAGGAGTTAGTAGAGGACGCGGCCGCGATAAACCCCGGGGACTCGGAAACGCCCATAATAAATCCCGAGAAAGGCGCGATCGCGGTGAGCAGGAAATACCGCAAGGCGTAAGCATAAAAAGAGATCCCATCAAGACGTAACGTGAGCGTAAAACGCCTAAAGGGCGCCCTCGCGCCTTACGCCACCGAGCTAATAAAAGTAAGAAGCGCGCCCGGCCGAGTTAATTCCATCAAGGAAACCTGATTCATTATCCAATATCGGATGCCGTAAATCCGGGCCAAATAAGTTATGGGCCGAGATACGTCGCATCTCCGCCGCCTCTCCGTCGCTTCGCCGTCGCGACGACCCCGACGGCCGAGACGCGCGTTTACGAGTTCGACTATGCCCCTACACGTAATCGTAATTAACCCTTTATTTACGGCGGGTATATGATTTCCTCCATACGAGAAATCTGCCATTGGGAAAAAAATGTCATAAACGTGATCCTTCAAATTATGATATTCATTCTATATAATGAAAATATTTATATAAACATTCCTCCAAACTGGGTACACCGAATTATCTGAAACTTTAGCGCCTGAGGAAGAACGCGATGCACGTGAGGATTCATTTTTCAGAGAATAAAAAATGTGATCTTGATTCTAGTCCAGGCTAAATAAAAAAAAAAAGAAAATTATTTTCGTTGAAAAATTAAATGTCACCGAGCATCGCGTTCTTCCTTAGGGCGTTCGTAATCACGTGTTAGAGTTCAGATAATTCGGTGTACCCAGTTTGGTGAATATTTTAAAAGTTTGATTAATATTTGGACGTATTGATATATAGAACGATATCACCGTAAGAAGCCTCGGGTCGGTGAGGATCGCGAAATCCGCGTTCGGATCGGTTCCTGGTAGATGTCCTGGTGGATCCTCGGGGCACTTTGCCCCCAAGCAACGGAAGCAAGGTATCCTCGGTACCCCGAGGATCCTTAGGAGATTTGTTCCGGCCGTTGTAAATAACGCCGACGGATGCCGTAAGACTGCACGGTGCATAACCGTTTATGCGTCCATCGGTCATCGTGGGTTCGCAGGGACCCCCGTAGGCCCCGGGTTAATAGAGGGTTTATTATTTTATGGAGCCAGCCTTATGCTTTGTGTACGTAACTCGTAGGTATCTCGTCATTGTGCCGGTTCCCGGGGGGCATAAATCATCGCAATTTTGGACGCACGGTAGCTCCGCCGAGTAACCAGCCTAAGGGCTTCCCCGACCTCCGAGGGAACTCACTTTCACGACCCTCTTCGACTTCTCTCTGCCCTATCATCCCGTCCTCGACTTCGATCCTAAATGCCCTCTCCTCATCCCCCAGTTGAGAGAAAAATAGGCAAAACGGTCGCTAATTACGTACTTACCAAATTCTCTCCTAAATTCGCCGCATAAGATGTGTACCAAGGATCAGGTCGCGCGTCCGAAAATTGCAAGAAGCTGCGTACAGAGAGCTGTAAAAAAAAATATATATAACTCGGTAAACCAGAGGCCTGCCTCCGACTAGTACGAGGTTCCCGTACAATAAATCCGGGAAAACTGAATCGGCAATGATTTAGTGCCCGAATGACCCACTGCCATTATTCCCGAGTGCTGGCCTTCGAAGAAAGTCCTCGAGGAGTCTCCCCAATTCCCGAAGGAGTTGTCCTTGACCCATCATTTCTCCCGTGTAAAAAATTAACTTTCCCCGAAGGAATTCCGCGTTAAGCCACTCGGGATGGCATTCGCTTAGTGTTGGTGTTAATCGTGGTAATGAAGAAAATTATATCGTGGGGGCCGAGGGGTTATTCAATTATGAAATCATACGTATTAGTGGCCGTATGTCGCGTGGAAATCATGCCGGATGAAAAATCTTCCGATATTTCAAACACTATCGAATACAAATGTAGATATTTTTGAACTCTCGCGGATGTGATGAAAAATGACTGTAGGAAAGATTTCGAAATTTCGTACACGTGTCCCCCGAGATTCGCATATTCCTATACTAAAATCCTAAACACTTGTATACAAAATTTCGAAATACTGTATTTTGAAAAATGTTGACTACGTGTAATACGGTATTTCCAATAGGTAGTTTTAACGGTCTCGTTACTGAAACGTTAATGCAGAACTATTGAATTACGTCGCTGTTCATTAAAGGACGCAGTTTTCCCTGATTTCTGAATGAATAGTTCCTCGGTCCAGTTTTAACTTGACAATTTGACTCACTGGAGATGATCTTTTCAGGATATTGGTCCCTCGACGTCCTGCGTCGTGCAGATCGAACCCCTTCTTTCTCGGCCACCATTCCACTGCAATATAAAACCGCGATCGGTATTAAAATCCATCAAGAGGTGTTAATCGAGAGCGTCGGCACGTGGCCCACCGGAAGCAGCTTCCGGATTGGTCGAAAGCCGAGTAATAAAATTTGCATCACGGAAATTGAGTCCCTTCTCGACTACCATTCAACTACACATGCAATCGCGATCGGTATTAAAATCCATCAAGAGGTGTTAATCGAGAGCGTCGGCACGTGACCCACCGGAAGCAGCTTCCGGATTGGTCAAAAGCCGGCCAATAAAATCCGGAAGCGGCCGCAGTCGTCGACGCGTCGAAGTCCCCTCGTCACCGTAAGTCGGTGGCGATTATTTATTGTCCTAATAAAACTTTCCTTAGCAGGGACGCCGGTGTTCTCGGTCAAGGCCGTCGGGGAAGAGAGGAGAGGAGAGCGCGCTCCCTTTGGGAGGAGAGAAAGGAGCAAGGAAAGCGGGACCGAATGGCGGCGCGTGCCGACCCCTGGGGGGGCCCCCTGCTAAATATTTTGGAAATATTTACCAGCTCCACGGATGCACGCCGAGACGCCCTGGACAAGATTTACGCGACGAGGCGCTTTTTCCTCGTCTGGAGGACTGCTCCCCGCTGCTCGGGCATCTTTTCAAGGCTGAGAAAAGGACCACTCGGTCACTGGGTAAATCGGTGCTCAGAGAAAGGGACAGGTCCTGGTGCGATCACCAAAGGACCACTTTCTTCCTCGCTTTGTTAATTATAACATACCTTGATAATTATGGAAAATATTCTGCTTAGTAAACCGAGTATTTTCATTGAATGTAGCAAATTACTTCAATATCTGGGATGATCTACCAGGATATTTAACGTGATCAGCTAAAAATTATTAACCAATGATTTTGGTCATTTCGACAAAATATTATGTACAAAATGTAACGACAAATTCGATCCGCTGATTGTGTTGAATCTTTGCCGAATGAGTTAGTTTGGAATTTCACGAGACCAAGTGAAGGAAAAACATTCCTCGCAACTGTGACCCAAAGTACTTGTGTTTACCTTCGGCTGTTTATATTTACCACGAGTCGAACTCGCGATGTTTATGTTTAGCCAGAATTCCGTCCTACGAGTCTAACTCGCCATTATACGTTGAGTAAGTAATAAACTCATACGCATAAAATTATTTGTTTGTATCGATCAAATTTTTGTTAATTCAACAACAGAATATGGTTATATGGGCAAGCAAATATTTTCACTGGACAAAATTTGTCGGTTCATAACTTCCGGTTGATTACATCAAATGTTGCGGTGGATCACTCCAAATACTAAAGTAATTTGCGACATTTAACCGAATTATTTGATCTATTCCCCAACATATTGTCTAAAATTATTGGAACGATTTATCCAAAACACTTTAGTTGATTGAAACGAGTTTAATCAAGTAAGCAAAAATTCGGTTAACTCGACCTTAAAACGGTATCTAAAAAGAGTCGAATGCAGTCGAAGGATTTTATTTAATTAACTAAATTTCCTTTTTTGTGGGCAACTTTAACGTGTAGATATTAATGCTTTATCTTCTTGCTCTGGTGGTACCATCTCCCGAGGAAGGGATTCATATTCACCAGTGTACGTAAGTACGCATAAAAAGTGACGAATAATCATCTAGATACTCACGGCTCGTCTCACGTCTTTCCTTTTTGCAGAAAGAGAACTCACAAAAGACCTGACGACTACCTAATCGACGCGACGCGTGACCGAGTACCTCGACTTTCCCAGGAAGGGCTCTCTCGGATGTCCTTGACACAATATTTTGACGTGCCGTTCGACAGGGTAACCGGAGTCGTCCCTAATCCTCGGAGAAAAGTCGCTTCGTACAGCTTTTGGCCCCGAGAGAGGACCTCCCGCAAATTCGAGCTCCCGTCGAGTCGTTATTCCGATGTCCAGGGGCGTTTGTTGTGACTTCGCGCACGACGAACTTCATCCCATGAGAGAACCTCAAAATGGCGTCGTTCGAACCATCGCCTCAACAAAACGCCCTCATCCGATGGAAATCATTCTCGACTCATCTCTCGAAACGTTCGTCGTGAGATCACGCGTGATTAAGTTCATCCCGCGAGAGAACTTCTCAAAATGGCGTCGTTCGAACCAACAATTCAACAAAACGCCCTTATATAGTGAAAATCATTTTCGACTCATCTCTCGAAACGTTCGTCGTGAGATCACGCGCGATTAAGTTCATCCCGCGCGAGAACTTCTCAAAATGGCGTTGTTCGAACCATTGGTACAACAAAACGCAAAACGAGCGAAAGTACTTATGACAATCTAAATATTTACTACTTATGGCCTGTCCAAGTCTATCAGATCTATGGTACATGCGCCCATGTGTTGCTGCTTACCGCGCAAGAAGAGAGCGATTATGTCGGAACCAGTGGGGTCAACAGAAGTTGGCGGTGTCGGAAAAACGTCGATCCGGCAGAGGATGATTTGCGAGGCAACCGCTCGGCGATCGCGAGCGACGATATCTGTGACGAGACCGAGCCACACTGGCCGGCACCCAATTCAATCGAGGTCGCGCGACCGAGCTAGTGATAACGGAAGCGCCGCCATTTTCCGCGGGAGTTCCTTCCGTCGCGTCGAGCCGGCAACGCAGCGCCGCGAGAGATCGCGGCGATACCGCGAACCGGCGCAGCTCCAAGGCGCGCTCGGCCGATAAGGCAGTTCTCCTCGAACGGTCCCTCGGAGGTTATCGTCGCCGAGATCTATTCCACGGCGGACATGATAACCCGAAATTGACTTCGGAACGAAACGAGGGTGCTTACTCGGCTGCATCCTCCCCTCTCAGGCTGCTCCGTTTCGCCAACAATATGGCGGCCCCGTTCGGTCGGTATACGCGAAATGTAGATCTTTATTCTCGAAACCCTTAGCGTCCGTGTTTTATTTCGTCGGAATCAACTGAACGCTCGAATTTCGGGGCCAGGCTTTTATGGAAACTTTCCTACGATATCGATAACGTAGGCCTGGTAATTAATGCCGAACGTTTATCAAGATCTCATTAAACCTTTAGGCGTCTCGTCGGGATTCTGGCTGCAACGAGGTCTCGATTAAACGCGAACGAAGCACCCGAGGAGACAGTCGGAGGGAGAGGATCTCTTTCTTTATGGGAACCCGTGATAATGGCCCGGATGATGCGGTTATTCCGCGGAACGAGAACGCCCGGTGTAGCCATGGCAACGGCGCGCGCCGCCATATTGGTACCGCGCCAGATATCGATAATAGGAAAGATAAGGAGCCCCGGAGCGTCTCGAATGTTTTATCGGAGGGGAAATGGCGGGCGCCGGCACGAGATATCGACCTCTCGCGGCTCTGTGCAACGTAACGAGTCTCTCCGCGTTGGTTGCACTTTGCAACCGAACCTTGTCGAATTCTTCTGGAAACCTAACCTACCGCTTTACCGATTTCACTTACATTATTGACCAACTTACCGATTTTAGAGTGACATTGCATCGCGGACTAGCTTTCACTGCCACCATGGGGATCTTACTTCCAAGCTCACCTATAAAAACAATGGAACGTTTGGAACGACCTAATATTTATAAGGAACTGTCCCGAAAATGATATCTCGCTTATTGTCCTCAAAGTGTTTAAATGTCACTAACAACGATACCACCCCACTTCCCTATAAATCATGCGAATGGAGATTTTGTTTGGTTCGCCGTTACTGCGTCGAGTCGCCATTTCGAATATAAAGGAAGGCTTATAAAGGAAGGTAAAAGCCCGTCCTTGGCGAGAGTGGAGGAGGTCTTCCTCTTGCGCGCCTACCGGCGGGCGCCATTACGCGGAATGAATGCGAGTCAATTAAAAGCCGGGGGAATTACCGGGGAATAAATCGCGGCCGTTAATCCGTTATAGCGCGGACAAGTTAAACTTCTGCCCGACCCCTTGGGTCGGGATTTGCGAGAACGGCGCCGAGGCCGGGCGTTCGCATAATTGGCTCTGAGCGTCGCCACCTGCGTCCCGTCGTCGTCGCCGACGCCACCGCCGGCTGCGCCTTAGGCCCGGTGCACACATGCGCGTTTTGGATGCGCGGCGCTGCGTCTATATTTCTGGCAAACACTATATACTACAATGTACTGCCCGAATCGTGATAATGTCACTTTCTGACATAACTGCGACAGAACCCGCAGATTAACGTTAAGTCTGGCACACTGGGACCTCCTTACAATTTTCTGGCACACCAAAACGGTTCCTTGTGGCCGTTTGCTATCGGCTTTATCTTAAAACTATTACGTTTTTGAAGTTTCTGCTACACGATTCGCTTTTCTCCCCTGTGCACCGCAGCGATGCCATGCGTCTTGTGGACGCACGTGTGCACCGAACCTTACACAGCATAACATTTAATTAAATGTCCGAATTCCTCCTCAACCCAATCTGACGATCGATAATTTGAAATTACAGATTTCATTTTTGAGCTTTTGGCCCTTTTCGCCCCTGTGCACCGCAGCGACGCCGTGCGTCTTGTGGACGCACGTGCGCACCGAGCTTCACACAGCATGAAATTGAATTAAATGTCCGAATTCCTCCTCTACCCAATCTGACGATCGATAATTAAAAATTACAGATTTCATTTTTGAGCTTTTGGCCCTTTTCGTCCCTGTGCACCGCAGCACGTGCATCCACAAGACGCACGTGCGCACCGAGCCTTACACAGCATGAAATTTAATTAAATGTCCGAATTCCTCTATCCAATCTGACGATCGATAATTCGAAATTACAGATTTCATTTTTGAGCGTTTGGCCCTTTTCGTCCCTGTGCACCGCAGCGACGCCGTGCGTCTTGTGGACGCACGTGTGCACCGAGCTTTACACGGGTCGAGTGCTCGCTTGCACGGATTGATCGGTCTCCGGACCAACCGAGTCGAGACGTCCGTCAAAGCCCCCTCCGAGTCGAGACGTCCAAGCGGGAGAGGGAAGGACGAGCGGGCTGTTTTGAAAACAGAGTTCGGTCCCAGCGTGGGGTAATTCGCGCCTCCGAGGGTGGCGGTACACAAACCGCCCCCTAAATTTGCCCGGTAGCTCGGCCGTTCCGGGCACCAGGGGCGCATCTAATCCGCGGCTCCCTCCCGCACAATGAGGACGTCCGGGCATCCTGGGATAATTTACGAGGCCCGCTCGCCGACAAAGATCGCGTCCGACTCTTATGGCCCCCAAGACGCGCAAACGTCCGTTTAGCGATGGATTCGTCATATCCGAGCCACGTAATGCCCACCCCGGCGAACTCGGCATTGCCGTAAAAAACCATCCAGGAAAACGTCCCGACTGGCTCACAAATTCCTCGCTCCAATTTTATACGTAAGTACCCTACTCAGAAAATAAAAAAGAAATTTATTCAACCAAGGAAACGTTTCGTTGATTCCAGGAATAATATAATTTCACTTGAATACATTGTTATAATCAAGTATAAACGTTCCATCGAATCTACTCGAGCTTACTCCAGTGAAATAATTTATTCTTTGAATTAACAGTAATATTTCTTTGACGCCATTCAAAGAAATTGTTTTCTTTGGTTAACTGATAGTCTTTTCTCAGGGTACGGATACGGTGCCGTCAATGTATGATGGGGAGGTATTCATATCCGCCTGTGTCCTCGTCACTCCAGGTACGCGTCGGTAGCTTGCCAAGGTAGGATGGGAAGGAAACGGAGAAAACGGTCCTTGGCCGTTCTCGTCATAAAACCGCATCGAAGCGTCCTTAGGCGCATCCTCTCCGGTCGGCGTCTCTTGGCCAAAATCGTCCGGCAGCTCTGCGCACTTCCCGAGCGCGCCATAAACCGTGACTCCGGTTATGGTCCTCCATGATGGACGAGGACGACTGTCGTAAACCCATAAACCGGCATCTCTGGCTTTCCTGGGGATGCCTGGTCTCTCTCGAACGGAAGCGGGAGATGGGACCACGGCCGATGATCCGAGTACCTTCCGGAGAGAGTACCTTCGTCATCGACCAGTTGAGATATCCGTTCCAAGGGACGTAGGTACCACCTCGCTCGTTCCATCCCTAGTGGAAAACTAATTAGAAGATCCCAGCAGGTATTGTAATCCTTTGCGCACCACGTGCACTCTTCTCAGCAGTACATCTGATTTTACCATCCTAGAACCGCCTAGAGGAATGTTCAAATCGTTCATTCAGTTGGTAAGGATGTGTCCATGCGATAAAATCCATCTTGTCGAAGAATTGCTCATTCTTCCAGTATCCAGGCTCTCGGTACACTTTCAAGGAGTTCCCAGTCATAGCCAAGGTGAGTCCTAGTTAAGACTTGCTCCTGCATCCAAGACAATTTTTCCTGATAACGCGAATCTAAGATCTATTTAAAAAAAAAATGTTGGAAATTTTACCCAAGCTTCCCATGTTATCGCCTAACTAGGGCTTACTTTAATTTAAATAATGCATTTAACGTACTCGTATTCATCATTGGACCGACTTAGAATATTCTAACTAGTTATTTTACATGGAAATGTGCAACATTCCCATGAGGACCTACATTCCTAGGTTGGCGTCCTAGCTGAATCCTAGTCCCTTACAGATTTTTTACATGAGATTGGTAGCCGCAATCGGCGATTAGAAATATTCGTTCGAGAGATCCGGAGGACCAATAAAGCCCCCCCTTGCCATTGCACATTACCCTTGCCATGGAAATGTGCGACATTTCGATGTAGGACCTACATTCCTAGGTTGGCGTCCTAGCTGGATCCTAGTCCCTTACAGATTTTCTACATGCGATTGGTAGCCGAAATCGGCGATTAGAAATATTCGTTCGAGCGATCCGAAGGACCGACAAAGCCCCCCTTGCCATTGCACATTACCCTTGCCATGGAAATGTGCGACATTTCGATGTAGGACCTACATTCCTAGGTTGGCGTTCTAGATGGATCCTAGTCCCTTACAGATTTTCTAGATGAGATTGGTAGCCGAAATCGGCGATTAGAAATATTCGTTCGAGCGATCCGAAGGACCGACAAAGCCCCCCCTTGTGAAGGAGCGACGTGGTCGTTGGCCAGAAAAATTGTTCTTTTCGCCGACTGATGGAGTCGGTTTTAAAATCCCTGGCTCGGAACGATCGACGGACGATTGGGTACATTTCGGCTTCCATAGAGCCGTGGTCGTTAATCGCCGAGTGTGGAATCCGCAGGGTCCGTCAGTGGAGGGACTGACCACAGTGCTCTTGACATATGGGTTTCCGGGGCTTGTTGGCCATGGTGCGAGCACGTGCGGGGGCGGCAAACGGGATGTCATCGCGTTAAATGGCCCTGATGGCCACGGCCCATTCAAGGCACGGGCCGATTCTTGTGGCTAATTTTCACTGTTATTCGTTTAATTGCCGGTCTGACCACCTGGACGATCGCCGTCCACCCCCCGATTCGCTCGACCGAGCGTTCTTAATTATCCGAAATCGGATGTACGTGGAATGGCTTGGGAATGAAAGGTCAAGTTCGTATCTCACTAGTACAGCGAAGACGATTCTTTTGTAACGATAAACTGTCATCCAGGCATGCGATTCATATTTTTCCTATCGTCCATAATTGTGCCCATAATTATGAAAGTGGTCTAAGTCAAAATTAAAAAAAAAAAATGAGTTTATCAGTTATTTCACGCCATATTATTTCAAACTAAATTAATCCAATGTAATTTCGAAACAAAAAATATATGACTTAGACCACTTTCATAATTATGGGCACAATTGTCGGCGAGACAACTCGTGTACACTTGATTCGGGGTTCAAAAGCGATATAAACAAATGGGACGCAATGCTCTCCATCGCGGTACATCTTACATCTTAATTTATCAGGTATTCGGTTAATAAGCAAAACGTATTACAAATTAGCAGCTAGGTAGTAGAAGGTAACCCCCAACCGCAAAGATGGCGTATGCTTCCTTATCAGGGTTGGGTAAGTATAATACCTCAAGTAATATACGTGGTTTTCTACACGTATATTACAACGTATAATACGTCCCTAGTTTTCTACGCGGCCACGAGTCTATTATCCCAAATTAAATGTGCAAAGCGCATGCGCAATGTCGTCAAGAGCCAATGAGAGTCCACCTATTTACCTCTAAGATTCTCATTGTCTGTTAAGGGGATTGCGCTTTACGCATCCACAAATCGAAACAACACATTCGAAATCACCCTTGGAAATTTCAAATGTATGCATTGTGACGTGGTATATTTTGCCACCCCATGGCGACCCCCAAATTTCTGCCATTTGTTCGTTCCTATTCGTCACAGCATATATGTGCATTCGACGTTTCTTTATAACGGCTATTTCAAGTCGTAAGATTCCTAACCGATATTTGTATCAAAATGTATAAACGTAGGAGACCAAAAAGTAAATTATGGGATGAAACAAATGGACAAGATGGATGTTTATAACCTAGCGGAGACCGCATGCCCTACGTCTGTCTTGTCCGCCATATTGGATACGTTTCTACGGTAAACCACTTGATTTACGTAATGTATGTCAAAAACCTTGAATATTGTGAAATTAGCCAATCCTAGTCCTTACGTAAATCGTGGGCGGAATCGCCCAAGACAAACGCTGGCGGGGCTGCGCTCCTTGTCGCCATCATTCTTCGGTCCCATGACGCGGCCGTAAATCGCGAATCGACGAGTGCCGGCAGCTCGGCTCGGGAAACGAGCCGAACACACCGCGAGTAGCCGGTGGCGCCCTCTGGCTCTGCCTCTGCCTCGAGGAAATGAACGCCATAAATAAGCTCGGCGGACCAATAATTCCGTCGCGATCGAGCGACGCGAGTTTTTTCATCGGCTCGGTGCCGCTTATAGATGCGCCGGACAATCGCCTCGCCTCGATGTTCGCAGGTTGCGTCGAGAAAATCGAAAAAGAAGGAGAATTAAGGGGAGGGGTAACTGGTAATAAAATTGGAACCTAGGTTGCTACCGATTAAAGAATAACCGAGACCGGCCAATCGAATTGGTTCGGCTACGGGGCGAAGGCCCGCCATTGGACGAGGGTTCAACTAACACCTATCTTGGACTTTTTAATGCATTTGAATTCGGTTGATAGGGAGAATGAAAACGATTCAAGTGCAATGGAATTAGGTGATATCGGCATAACGCGCGGCGCTATGTTTCTTTTAGCGGGCATAATCAAATCGGGGATTCCCAGGGAGAGTTCGACGGTTCGTCCGTTGAAAGAGTAACCAATAGATGCGATCGAATCGATTCTGGTTGTCACACGACTCCGAATAAGCGACCAATCCGACGCGGCGGGTTCTTTGGAGGATCCTTCGGTCCTCCAATCGGTGCTCGGATTTCCCTCGGGACATTCGGGGGTGAAAGAAAAAGAGAAGGGAAAAAGAGGGGTCGGCCGTGTGCGCGGGAGGAAGAAGGAGAGCCAGAGGGGTGGATCGGCTGTCGCAGGATTCACCCATCAATTTTTACTCTCTTCCCGCGATTTCCCGGAAATCAATGCCGTTCCTCCAGAGGATCGGCGTGAGAACTTTTTCAAACGAAAATCACCGATTCGTTAAAGACACGACACATTTTACAAATAATTGTTCCTTGAATCTACCGACAGGTAACTCCATTGATGTTTTCACATTTCTATCACGTTACAAAATAACTTTCTTAAACTGACTTTGGCAGGTTTAAAAAATGGGTAAAGGAATAAAATGCCCTTAACAAGAAGCTTACCGATGGATCTTACCATTTCAATATTTTTGATAATTAGATACGTGACGTTTGGACTGTAAGTTGGATGGAAATTTAATGGACATATGCTGCCATCCGGCGGAGACGGAAGGAAGTTCAAGGCAATCGTTCAATCTATTGTACGTAAAATTCATTAGAAAATACTTACATAGGAGACGATGAATTATGAACCTCAGAGCATTCACTTGTTGAATTAGAGTGGATTTCTAAGTTCCCCTTTAATTAATTATTTCTGATAGTGCGTAGAATGATTTGAACTCATTCGGTAAAACTTCCATCTTTGAAACCAGTTTATTCTTCACTTACTAAGTCTCCATCGTCGATAGTTACTCAATACATTGAATAAATCCGGCTTTAAGTGCGTCGACAAGTAAATGCGATTAAAAAGAAACAATTAATAATAAATTCACAAATCCGATTTTGTCAGGAATGTACAAGAATTATATTTCCTCTGTCCATGTAGTAGCATATAATATAAATTTATTTTTTCAAGTTGTGTAAATCACACATATGTTCAAGTATATATATAATTAATAATACAATTTACCCTACCGAAAGCAATCATTTTAGGAGGGACCATTTAAGTTGTTCTTTTGCTGACTGTAATACCTGAAATACACGAAAATGAAATTGAAACTCCATACATAACGTAAGTACTTTGAATTTGCATAACATATAAAAGGATTTCTTAGGATAAACGAAAGGGATCGTTACCTGGGCTACTGTCTGTTCTCCCAAAGGTATGTCATCAGTTCGCAATGCTACCCTTTGAACAACACTGGTGGCATCAGAGTCCAAAATAATTCTGTGGAGACAAAGAAGTATTTTATTTCCAATATAATGGATTACTTAATACCAAATAAGTACCACGCTAAACATAAAAATTAGAATCTTACCCTCCATCACAGATTTCATCAAAAGCCAGCATAACGATATCCAGACTATCTAAAACTGCCCGCTTTTCTACATTTTTCCTTAATATCTGACTAACAGAGTCATACAAGCAGTTTAATACGGTCATCAATATCAGCTGAAGTAACAAAATCCAATTAATTTAACAGCAAGTTGATGTACTCAATACAACACAGTTAATAAATCCATAGTAGCATACCTCGTTTTCATGTGAGCTTCCCATGACATAAAAGAACAAGTCAACATTGCTCCGATATACACAGGTTAAACCGTCAAGCATAATAATTTCTGCATTGGCCCGGTGTGTCTTACTAAATAGATTCTTCTCAAAAGCTTTCTGTTCTTTTGACGTTGGAAAAACATTTTTATCATAGTACTTTGCCAATATACGATTCCCATCGTTATCGAGTATTAACATACCCTTCACTGTGTACAACGTAGGTTCCTGTAAAAATAAAAAAACAATGAATGCTGAACAGTTATTCCTACTTTACTTCAATCCTTGAAGTCGGTACTGAATGTAATTAATAATCTGTTATTTCGCACTCGTAAGTGAAAGTCGCGGTCCGATTCAGTCGGTGACATGTTAGCGAGGTTAGGTTGCCCACGATTGGAAGAGACACTTCGATTCATGTTGACGGGTCAAACGAAGGTGGTAATATCGCGTAGAAACAATGATAATAGTGACCTTTGGTACAAAGTCAAGAAAAAAGAGTAACTTCTCAAAGGAAAACCCACCAATAATTGGCCATCCATGTTTACGTCAAACTCGACGTGTCGAATGGTCTTCGGGTGAATACTATGTGAGTCAAGCCACTATCGCACCCAGAGATGAGTTGGGAGATTGCTCACGGGCAGGATCGTGTGATTGTGGGAATTGTCAAATATATTTTACCACATTATTTATAGTTATTGCTTTATTATCACAGAAAAAGGAGCGGATTTCAACGTGCACTCTAGAATTGGTCACAAAGTCTTCTTCTTGATTTTCAATCGTTTTAAAACATTTTACGACGTGGTCGTCTTTTGGTTCGAGGTAAGTAAAGTAATGTACACACGGGGTAACGCAGTTTGCCCCGTCCTGAACGCATCGCGCTCGAAACGCACTACGCCCCTGGTGGTCGATGGCCGGACTTCGTCCCGGGCCCGCCACATGACAGAGATGAGTTGGGAGATTGCTCATGGGCAGGATCGTGCGATCGCATCCTGTGCTGCCCTCTGGTTTCGTACGTCAGCTTTCACTGTTTTTTGCCCCCAAGGGCGGCGCAACGAATTTCTGGTAGGGGATCGCGCACTCGCGATGGCGGTGCCATCTACCAGTCATAGTTGGCGGCTCACGTACCCGTGACGGTAATACCATGCGGCAGTTGACGGTGGTGGCTTACCTACGCTTACCGAACTGCACGCTCATCTCTGCTCCTAACTCATCTCTGTACCTTTCTCTCTCTTGCCATCACACTACGAACAAGACAAGGACTCACCGATACGAGAATTGTTACTCTCACTGAAATATATAGTAAACGAGGCACATCTGCCCTGTCATGACATACAAGACCAGCAATCAATATATGTCGAATAGCCTTTTCCATTCCGCGCCGATCCAAAATGTAATTTCTTAATTAATGTACTTGTCGTAATTCGAGAATACTAAAAGTACTATGTAAATTTATAACGATCCACCTCTTAGTCAAGTCTCACGGTGACACAATATATTTATAATTATAAGTTATAAAATATGTATTACGTATACACTCCAGCATCCACATATATAGCCTTAGCTTAATAACACTCTACTGCATTGCATATATTATCATTTCAATTAATCATTATCAGGGATGAATTATAGAAGGCGGGTCGTATTAGTCGAATGGATGATTTAAAACGGGCTTACTAAAATTCTCGAAATTACTCCTACCCATGCATGATTCCCTGATATTTCTGAAAAGCTCATTCTCACTACCAGCATGTCCTCAAATCACTGATTTCGATAAAATAATATTCATTGTGCTTTCTCATCAAAATACGTAGAACCATTATACAGCTTACGATGAACGTTTCCTTTCAAAGGGATGAAAACATTTTCGAGAAAACTCTGGACCGTCCCAGTAGCCCCTGAAATATATTCAAGTAAAATTAGTACGCACTTACAGGTGGATATGAAATGCTTGTTATTAAAGATTTTATCAATCTTACTTGAGCATAAAGTTCCAATACAAAAAAGGAAAGAAGTGTTTCTTCAGCAAATACATTAAGAAGGATTCCTTGTTTTGTTCAATAGGGAATGTTTCCTTTGGTTGCAAATTGTAGTCGAACTCAGCAAGAATACATTTGCCATAGCCAGTAACCAATGGACATGAAGCGTAGCCATCATATACCATGATCATGGGTTTCCCTTCAAGAGAATCGAGTATGTTTTTGTACAATACCTTCGCCTGCGAAGCTGAAAGACAAACAAGTTTCCTTAAGATATTAACCTGAAACTATTGGGTAGATAAAGTTATAAACGGTGATTTCCGAGAGCTCACCAACTGCTGCCATGGTTTTTGAGTTAGGTGTGTTTGTACAATCACCTATCCCATAAACATTTAAGTATTTGTTGTGTCGAAGAGTTTTCGCGTCCACTGTTAAGAACCCAATTTCATTGGTCAAAGATTTATGGGCTTTTAGAATCTCGGGAGGTCCCATAGGTGGGCATACATGTAATAACGAATACTAAGAAGAAGGATAAATAAATTAATTACAGAGGTTGGTAACATCTTTAATTAAGAACCAATAAAAATTTAATTATACACACCTGCTGCACATACGTCTCCCCTGGATTCTTCAAATTTTGAAAGAGCGCTTCTTTTTTATCCGGATTCAGCTCAAGAAGATTTGTGCTGAGATTTACAGTAATGTCCCTCTTATTGCAGACGTTCCATAATTCATCGGCATACCTTTTTACTCCAAAAATCACCGGTAAGGCAGTATTATAAACAACATTTATTTTATCTCGCATATTGTGCTAGAGGAAACAAAAAACGTAGTAAATAATGAGATACAAGAAATCTGCTAAAATCCATGTGTACTTATAATCATATTTTTGATTGAAAGATTAATAAATAAGAACCATGCAGGATTACCTTTCGCCAAAAATCTTCAGCAATATAGGCAATCTTTTGGGGTGCGCCTGGACACTTGACGGCAGTGTTAGGGAATGTAAAAACAGCAGTACCGTCTCGTGTTTTCTGAATTTTTATAAACACATCGCTCACTGTATCAGGTCCATAGATCGAGCAAACCTGGGAATCTGGATTCTGAAGACCTTCCACTAAACCTGGAATCTATTCCATTATAAATGTTTTATGACTATAGTGAAATTGGCCTAGATACTTTAATTTTTTAGGGAACTATTTATCAATCATTCAATGATGACCTTATCCCAGTAAAGTTGCAAACCCATTGCAACAATCATGACATCATACTGTATTACATCGCCATTACTTGTTGTGACTTTGTTACATTCTGGCTCGAAAGACATTACGCTGTCCTTTATCCACTTTGCTTCCTTAGGTAATACACTTGCCATTGGTCTATGTGACGATTTGAAATGCTTAATACCACCGCCGATTAGTGTAAACATTGGCTGATAGTAATGAACCTGAAAATGAAAAGTTAATTATCAGTATCAAGAATATGATTTTATTATTAACACATTCAACACTATCTACACTGCACTCATAGAAAATTACTTACTTCACTTGGTTCGACAATAATAACCTGATTTGACGAATCCTTAAATTTCCTAGCAAACTTTGCTGCCATTGTGCAGCCACCAGTTCCACCACCAACCACCAAAACTTTACATCTGAAATCATTTTAAAAAAAGTATACATTCATGTGTACAAGTGTTTTAAATTCAGGAACTTTTAATTTTCACTTACGAATGATGGGCATTTCGGTATGCATTTTGGAAGTACAGAATTCTATTAATGGACAATAAATTACTACCGACACTGTTGTACATGGTTACTCTGAAAGAAGAATAATTCTCTTAATTGCAATATTGTTATTAAAAATATTACATAGAACTATACATAGAAATTAAGTATCATAATCATGACATTCTAGGAGATCAAGGAAATGTTAATGTTATACATTGTACCGGTTACCATTAACAGTTGGCAAAGTAATCAAATATAAGATTAATGCTATTAGATTAATACACTTGGAAATCACAGCCTAAATATAAATTTGGACCATTTCAGGCAGGGACTAGTCTCTCACCCAATACACAGGAACAATAAATCTTATCTATCTTACGTATTACAAACACTTCTTAACAAGTACTCATTTCAGTAAATGTAACAAATTTAAATGACACCGTTGTTCCAAGTATTACGAGTTATGTTAATAAAAAAGATGACGAATATTACTTTAAATTATAATATGTGGTATTCTCACGTGAATATTATTTAAGAAAATAATAGTATTTCCGTCGGATCGACGTTGACGTAACCGGGGACAGGGCAGTAAGCTAACCTCAAAGATACCTGAAAATGTCAATTCACCGGTTTCTGCGCAGACGAATGAACTTAATTTCTTATTGGCTTCTCAGACGCGCGCTTTCACGGGAACTTTCGTGTCCTCGTGCATATCCGTGTCAATTCCGTAAGCTCACTGAAGAATCGTACCGAAAATACACATCGGTAAGGTGATAACCTTATATACACTTAACAACGTAATTCTAACGCAACCGACCGGCTCGACTTGCTTCGGCCATCTTCGTTCCAATTCGTACGTCATCGGGCCAGGACGTTGCAATTCACAGGTTTTACGTTGGCAAAAGATCACAGAAAATACATTCACGAATGGGAACCCCCTGTCGACTCGACGTAAAAGACTCGAAACTACCCAGAACTCCGTGAATCCGAAAGGCACTCCTCATATTTTAAACACGAGCCTGAGAAATGATAACTGACGCGGGATTCTGTACGCCAATTCGATAGCTATCGATATTATTAGCCCATTGGAAGGACAAGGCTAACAATATCGATAGCTACCAAATTATCACACAGAATCCCGCCACTGGTATCGAAGGAAGGGTGCAATTGAAACGAGTCGGTGGAACTTTTGCACTTTTTTATTCAGGCTCTTTGCTCCAACGGAATCGAAGGAATTTATACCAAAAACCATCCCTATTTGCAAAGAACACGAGAACGCCGTTAACAATACTTTTCTCTCAGTGCAGGTGATGTGAATAATGTTAGTTCACAAATAACAGCTCCCCTTTTAATGGCCGAGGGTTAGTCAGAACTGTCCTTATCAAAGGGCCTTCCTTGCGAGGGCGCGTGCTTACCGAGAATAGAACGCGTACTCGCCGATCGACCAATTGGAAGAGGGAACGAACCCGTTAACAGTCAGTACTTTCCTACCGCTAAGGACTTTTTGAACGGCCCGCGCTGCCGTGCGGTTTCGCTGTTGGGAACACCGCCCATGCGGGCCATTGGCTGTTTCCGTTGGACCGACCAATGGCGGGCCGCCTTTCTCCTGGAGCAACCAATCGCCGGCGGGCCGGGCCGCCTCGCATCTACAACCGTCGATTAGAGGTCGCGTAGGCGAAATATAAATGCACGATTCGCAAAGGTCGAATACAATTATGTCGGAGCTTCGTTTCTTGATTATCCTTAACATTAATTATGTACATCGTCGACTCAGCGTCCCTTTTCATTTTTTCCCTCCTCCGAACGGCGGTGGCGCGTATTACGTGGCCGGCCACCGTTCTCGAGGATTATTTTCGGCTTTTAAGCTTGCCAGGTGGAAAAGTTGAGGCTCAGTTGGCCCTGCGAATCTACATTCGTAGAATCTTTGCCACGCCGTACATGATTAAACCAACGCTAACGAACGACAAAGACTTATTACCTGATTATCTCGTCAAAATTCCAGTTATCGCGTGACTGATTAAATTTGGCAGGAAGAAACACAATCAACTTAAAGTGAGATTTGCCAACGATGTTACTTTCACTGTCAAGAGTCAGCAATTCCACGTGTAACATCACGACAAATAGCCTCGTTAATTAGCGGCAAATAATCTGGACTTACAGGAAAGAAATCTATTTAATACAAAAATATTGTATTACCATGCAGCAACTTTGATTCTATCATGTTTTCCTAATTACACCTCAGTCTCAATGAAAATATCGCTTTCATGCCGACTTTCAAAGTTTGCGCACAGGAGTTAAGACTCAAACGGTAAACGTGTACGAATTTACATGACGATTCAAGTTCTGTTTCTAAGTAAATAGAATTAAATCTCACTATCTAATCGAGCTTCGAGTTGGTGTCGCGTGGCCGAGTAATTCCGCGTATAATCAAAGAAACGCAGATAGCACACGGCAACTTTTCTCACCGATCGAAATCCTATTGAAACAAAATATATCTTCGATTGTTATTAAAATATGTTAAGAGTATTATTTCATTTCAGGTTGCGAGACGGTCTTAAAAGGACGTAAGACTTATTACAGTGTAAAACTCAGCGGCCAACGAACGTAAACGAATAAATTCTTCAATAATTGCGGGGCATACTGAACGTTCAACTTTCCCGCCAGTCGTTCTAGTCGCACGTGCGAAGACCAGAGGTCGCTCGCCGCGGTTATTTCCCCGCGACATTCAAACGGCAATTAAGAGCAATCGATAGGACGTCGCGACCGTATTCACTGCCGGAATGGTCCAGCAATAATTGAAGGTAAAATGGAAAAGAAGAAACAAAATACGATGAGACGTTAAGAGAATACAGACGTCGCGAGCGACCCTCCGGTTTCGATTCGCAAGCGCTCCTGACCGTCACTGTCGCGCTATCATCGATTTGGTATATTTTGGCATACAAAATAATTTTATTTACAGTCTGATAATATTAATCATTTCGATCGACAGTCCTTTATACTAACTGGCGATAGTATAATCCGGTTAATTACTTATTAATATGAAACGGGAACGGGGGAACGGGGCTATGTACACGACGAAAGCTTCGCGAATAAATATCTCTCTCTCGGGAGGGAGAGAGGTGGACCAAGCTCGCTTCCGTGAGGGGTGCGTCGGTATTGCAGACCGGCGCGGTTACCAACCGAGTCGGTAACCTCTCGACGCCGTCACCGACGTGTGCTACATCTCGAAGCAAAACTCGACGCGAATAATATCCAACCGCTTCTCGCACGTTTTCGAGCATCCTTCTCCGAAAGTTTCGCCAAACCATTGTACGAAAGAGACACTCCGGCGAGAACGTCTTGCTTCCTCCACTTATTATTTCTTTTTTTCTCCCCTTAAACGAATCGAAGTGTTCTATGTATATGTACAATACGACCCTAAAACAATTATACACATTGCGAATTTGAAATAGATGAAGAAGTCCCGCCGAACTGGCGGAAATATCTAACGTAATAATGCACGTGGAGTCACATTCGAGGCTCGAAATGGAGAAACTTTAAAAGAGAACGGATCCTTTTTCTTTTCTTTTCTTCTTCTCGTAAAGTGTACTTCGTTGTTCCGATATAAGCAAGCGGTTGAGTAACACAAGTTATGGAGAGGAGTTCGCTTCCCCTTTATGGAAAATATGCCGGCCGTCGAACGAATAGACAATTCAGAGAGATCATAGGCGTAGGATGTTTCGAATTTACAAATCCAATAATTCCCTTGATATTCTTAGAAAGATTGTCTAATCCGCGGCCCTCAAGAGCCAATAACGCGGCCTTGAAAGACCTTACATTTTTAACATTATTACGTAACTTTTAGTAATATACTTCATGACTCAATTGCGCGTGCTCGAGGGTGGATTGCATAGGAGACAACGAAACTGTATACAAGAGAGCGCAATGCAAGGTTGACTTCGCCTTCCGTACACATATTTGAATGACTTTGTAAAAATAAAAGAAATAAAAATTCCTCACTTACTGCAATCGTTAATATTACATATTATGTGCGCGACTCAGGCAAGGTTGGGCACCTTCAACTCAGTGGTTTCTCTTAAAAAGAGAGAAAAGGAGTTAGAATAACAGCCTCTTTGTTTTCCTTTTTCTCTTTTACTTCTCTAGTTTTCATGGTGAAATTGGTCTGCGAAGTCTATACATCCTACGTCTATGGCAGAAATACGAAAGAAACCAGGATGAGAAGAGAGTAGGCCGTGGGCGCGAATCGCACCCAGTTTCTATGGCGCACTTCATGGATCGAGATAAAATGATCGCGATGATCACAGATTCTAATGAAACTGTGTAACGGGTACAGAAAATACGGAAAAAGAAGGCGGCATCGGACGAGTTGAGTGTAGAAGGGAATCGAAGAAACTGATAATCGAAAACCAACATGGCGTCGATACAGCGCAGCGAGGACGGAGGGGATTTCCGTATCTCGACCTTACGACCTAACCGCATCTAGCTTGACCTGAGTAAGAATATTATTTCTCTATTTCGAAAGCGTTACGCCGCGAAGTAAGAGAGTTACGTTCACGGTCGTATGTGCAGGTCTGGAAACTTTTAAAGTGCAGGCGATCAATTTCCAGGAAAACTACCGTCACCCTCAGTCCCTCTTGCACTTATACTCAGATCATTCAGAATCACGCTCGAGAGAAATTTACCACGTCGCAGCGCCCTGGTGACAATTTTAGGAAACAGGAACAGCAATGAAAACCGATCGCTGTAATTACAATTCTTTCCTAAAGCTGCCACCACGAGGGGCTGCGATGCTGGAAGATTTTGCCAAACCTCGAAAAATCTTCAGTACAGGGGTGGGAGAGAAATGGAGCGATGATACATTTCTGCCTGTTTCACAGACTTTGCTCTGGCGATTCCGATGGGCTGAAGTTTCATGAAAGTCGCCTTAGAAAAACTGCTCGCTGCCTATTATTGGATTTTCAAGACCTGCACATACGGCCGCGTTTACGTTAAACTTTGGCTAACGTAAGGCGCCACCTACCGGCGTCTGTGGTTGACCACCGACGCGACTGACGCGATCGACGCGCCGCCACGCGGCGAGTCGCGTCAACGTGTCATCCGCGTCATCCGGATCGAGGACGGGGCGGAGTCACCGAGTGGAGACCGTTCTCGACCAGTGGCGATTCTCGATATAATTCTCCTAAAATCCATTTACGTCCTGGCTGTTGTGTACTACGTTGCATGTGACTGCGGCAGCTTGTTCGAACTCTTGTGATGGCTCGACGTGTGCTTCTCCTGAAACAAATAAATCCCCGGTTGGACCCCACGTATTTCTGCATTCGACGAACACATGCATCTTTCCCAACTAACCGCAAAACTACCTCGAACCGTTTACTCTCCACAAAACGTTCAAATAGACCATTTCTGCCAAATGTTTAAAGATATTAATATAAATTACTCAACCCTATCGGCAATACTCGATCGATAAAAATCATTTCGAACTCTTCTGACCGTTAATTCGCCTCACATCGTATCTCCGTTGGTCACTTCTCCCACGAAAGACCTGTCGTCGATACACCAAACGGTCGGTAATATAATTTCCCCGGTCGATAACGCATTAATATGAAGTCACCGAACTCTGATAAAAAAATAAATAAATCTCATCGCGCTGACCAGCATACGCGATCACAAGTTGATTGATCTTGCAGAGATATCCGTCGTCGGTAAAATCCAGCTAACCGCGACATCTCTCCGCGGGGTATCGAAGTACTCGTCGACTCCGCGATACCATCAAAGGCCCGAAACGAAGGGAGCAAAGAACAAATCAGAAAGGAGACCATACCCAAGTCGGTTCTAAGGGATCGCATGCTGTGGAACAGGACTCCGTCGGTAAAACAGACCCGAGATGACAGGAGTAAGGTATACAGCTGACGTAAAAGCGCGCACGCACACACGCCCCCACATACGCACATACGCCACAGGCACCACAGGCATGGAACAAAGTCGAGGAAAACGAAGACACGAAAGAGAAAAGAGAGAAGAAGAAAGAGTAACTACCACCATTCCCCTCCACCGAAGCGAGCAAATGAAACGATTGGGTGGCACGTGAACGATTCCGATGTAGCCTACCAGTGAGAGCTTATGATGTTAGTAAACACAATGCGACGGCGATTGCGGTTCGTGGTGTTAGAAAGACAAAATAATCACTAAGGTATTCGTTTCCACAGAGTGTTTATTATACTGTTTTAATTGTTTTTCATTCTTCGGCGGCTTTCCCTTTCCTTTTCGTATCTTCACGAAGTCTCGGACGTGCCGTGTACGGTATCCACAGGTGTTCCGTTCACCTGTCGGTAACCTAGATAACCCCCGTCCCCCGGATTCATCAACCCATTTGCATAAACCGTCACTTCGTGTTCGGCCCCGAAAGTGACGTCTGCCAAGAATGCGATTAAAAATTTAGAGAGACCGAACGGGCTCCAGCGGATCGAAATTGGACGTTAAATATATATTCCCAGGTGTTTACGTACCTCAAACATTTCTTTAGAGACGAAATTTAGAAATTTCCATCACCCTCATATTCTTCTTTTTTTTTTTTCTTTCGTGGGACGACAGCCTCGCCTGATAATGTCATTTGCCGATCATCCTCCTTTCCTCGAGCCGCGAGTCGTTCGACACCGTACGCGACACGTCCCGAATACATTTTATACAGATTAACGTTAATTCCGCGTTACAATCGATCAAGGCTTGCGGGTAACGTGTGCTTCTCTCGTTCTCTCGGCTTACGGCTACCGATGATCGGCCCTCTCTCGGTCGGTAAGAGTGCACAACGGGCGCAGCCTCTACCATTACCGACCACTTCAAGTAAGTTCCATTACAAAGGCTAGCAACATTACTCCGAGCTTTCCGCGGTTTACCTTAGCAATTATTTTGTCCTCCTTGCATGTATATATGTGTATATACATATACGTACATATATACACACATGTACATCCGTAGTCGCAAATTCCCGGAGCGTATAATCCCCGTCCGCGGGTTTATCCTAGGTCAGTAAGTACCGGTGCGCGCGCCTTTAGATTTACTGTTTCACGGAGCTTATAGAAATGGAGACACGCGAGGCCACGTATATGGACTTGCGATCACGTCACGAGCTTGCAAGTCCTACGGGGCGAAACGTTAGGCCGTGTACAATGGCCGACATGAATGCCTCCCCTGCGGATACGACATCGCCTGTGCAGGACGGGAGGGCATTGATGTCTCCCAGCGCGCACATGCAATCTCGCTGAACAACGGAATTAAGCAACGTAACTTTAGGACGTATACACACTTGCAATATTGCTGTGCAACGCAATCGGGCAACGTAACGTTTTGCCTCGTACACCCTGACAAAGACTGTGCAACTAAATCGCGATTAAACGAGGCGAAAGTTGCGCGACGCGGTTGCACTTGCATGTTCATCCGTGGTCTAAGAGTGGATTATCCATAGGTCAGACAGATAGATATTTTTAGTCTCTAAATTTCTCCGCGAAAATCCAGAACACATTGGAACGTTTAGTGAAACTGATTTCCCCCGAAATTAGTCAATTTTCCATTAAAAAAAAAGGGTTTTAATTTTAATTACGCTAGTAATGTTTTTAATCTATCCATTGCGCCCTGCCCATAGAACTTGTAACTTTCCCACACAGGCGCTATTTCTGAGATAAATGGTTATTTATACTTCGTCGATCTAAAAAATCAATGCACGGGTATAGGAAGGTGGTATCTGTGGGGTCGATCATTCGTGAAACATTACTCAAACTTAGATGTATCGATCGTTTGCAATTTTATCACGTGAATATGGAGGCTTTAGGAAGGTCCTGACACCCATGAAATTTAATTTCTCTCGTTGTTCATAAACATTTTAAATTGTTTTAATCTGTTCGTAAGCATTTTTAAATGTTTTATTATAAAGTCATGGGTATCTGGACCTTCCTTAGGGCCTCCAAATTCACGTGATAAAATTTTTTAACGACTCGGTGCACCCAGGTCGGAAAAAAGTTTCATAAACGATTGACCCGTCAAATGTCACTTTTATGTAACATTAATTAAGGACGCTGTTAAAAAGGTTTCGGTATTTCGAACACTTTCGAATACTAATGCATACTAAAACCAGAAACAGTGGTGCTCGAAATGGAATACCCCATATTAAAGCAATTGACTGCAGAATATCATCCCGCGCCATCTATGCATTCAGTGCCAACCAAATTTTTACACCGAAACCTCGTATTACCTTCATCCTACATAGAAGCCCATAAGACACATTTTTTTACCTTTATTACGTTTAATTGCAATTTTCACGATTTCTACCTCTAGCTCTAAACTGTTGTGCAATAATTCTGACACTTTCGTTTCTCACATGAGAACCCTCAATAATTGCATATTGATCAAAATATGAGAGCTCGACGCCATTTTGGTTCCAGTCCAGACTAAGACATCAAATTTATTTTAACCCTAAATTGTACCCTAAACCCTAAATTTTAAAAGTGTCACGATAATTTTGAGACGTTCACGAGTTACGTGTTAAAATTTCCGACATGGTGCAATTACCCTTAAAAAAAAAAAACTTCCTCAGGCTTATCATTCACCCCGTCGCTTAAATTTCGCGTATAAAGACTTGTACGCGTACTTCCGAAAAAATTTAGAGACGAAAAATCCCACTCTGTCTAATCTCCTTTGGACCCTTAAATATGTACAGACACTATAGTGGTATCCTCTCCATTTTGATAAGCTCTATGTGTTTTCGGTCGGCATTAATCGCGCGCAGAGGGATCGCAAATCCAGTAATGGCGGCGACGGGTTCGATCACTTCGACATCCGTTTCCTTCATCGTCGAATCCATCTTCGATCTTTATTATCCTAAGTGGCCGTAGAGAGATTTCAGCATTGCGAAGTTACGGAGCTGCGCGTTAAATCGTCGCGTACGTTAATTCACGTGATATATAACCCTTAAGAACGAAATCTGTCGATTCAGTCAAGGTTAATCAGATTTAAAACGGATTGCGAAAGGGCGTTTTTCAAAAGTGGCAGATACATAACGTGCAGTCAATTAAAACGCACTTCCATCTTCTCTCCGCCAGCGTTTATGCTCGAGCTCACCCCGTACGTGCTGGGAGCGGCAATACTTTTGTACAGCATAAATATTTCGGTATAAATCATCCGTCCTTCCTATTCCGGCCGTCCGGCGTGAGCTCGACGCTCTAATCTCGATCGACGCCATCTTGCGCGAAATGTACAGAACCTCAACCAGCGAAATCCTAAAACAGGAGTGTCCAACCCGCGGCCCTGATATTAATTATGGGACCCCAGGAGATAGTGAACCTTTTAACATTATCATATGATCTTCAGTGATACCCTTCACGATTCGATCGTACGGAATGCTTAAGCGATTAACATCGCGTAAGGGAGGTCGGATGCAATTGTAACGTATAAGTATATGAGAAAATTATTAATCACGCGTAAAGTTGTCCTAAACAATCTCCAAGAAAATTACCAGTCCAATCGGAGGAAGTCTTTGGTGAACTATAGTTTCCCTCCTGATACGTGTAATTCCGAAGACTCAGTCGATAGATATTAGGCTGAGGGATAACTTCCCGCCGTCTTAATTACGTTAAATTGCGTCAAAAACGGCGGTAACTTATTCCTCGACCTAATAATTCACGGTTAATGTCATTCCTTTTCATCGTTTCATTTTCTATAAATTGTAACGAAGGTAACTGCAGTTAAGTGACTAAATCTTATTACTAAAGTTACAACTATAAGGCGACACTTATTTGCCAAAATATATCTGGACAAGGTGTCGATGAAAATTCTCTACCAAAAAAATTGTTACAATTGTTTCCGATCTTCTCTAAGGGTTAACTCCGCTTTCTGTCCCCACCACCCAGAATCGAATGCAAACTCGCATATATCAGGCACTATGTACTTGGCGAGTAAGAAAAGAAAAGTGGGGGGTATGACCTATGTACACTAACTATATTATACATTTTACACGTGGCCCAGGTAAGTCAAAAGGTTGGGCACTCCTGTCTTAACATAACCTCACCGTCAACGACGTCTCCGCGTTCATTTCTCTCCTACTATTGATACTTTTCTTTTTCTTTTTTTTTTTTTCTTTTAACAGTACTTTCATAACGTTTCACTGAGTATTAAATGCTACGATAGAAATAAACTCCGAGAATCGGATCTAGAGGCCGCGGCGTGACTTTTAAGAGGGGCGGTCCACATTATGATTCCATAATCAAAGATAATTATCTCTTTCG